GTCGCTGCTGATCGCCTTGGTTGGGTTGTCTGCCCTGGCTGGATTGTGGTGTCCGTTGCCGCTGATCGCCTTGGATCGAGCGGCTACCCTGGGTGGATTGTGGTGTCTGTCGCTGATTGTCTTGGTTCGAGCGGTTGCCCTGGGTGGATTGTGGTGTCTGTCGCTGCTGATCGCCTTGGTTGGGTTGTCTGCCCTGGCTGGATTGTGGTGTCCGTTGCCGCTGATTGTCCTGATTGGAGCGATTGGAGCGGCTGGATTGTGGTGTCTGCCGCTGATTGCCCTGGTTGGAGCGGTTACCCTGGGTGGATTGTGGTGTTTGTCGCTGATTGTCCTGGTTGGAGCGATTGGAGCGGCTGGATTGTGGTGTCTGCCGCTGATTGTCCTGGTTGGAGCGATTGGAGCGGCTGGAGTGCGGAGTCTGCCACTGATTGTCTTGGTTGGAGCGATTAGAGCGGCTGGAGTGCGGTGCCTGTCGCTGCTGATCGCCCTGGTTTGAGCGGTTATCCTGGCTGGATTGTGGTGTTTGTTGCTCATTGCCCCGGTTTGAGTTGCCCTGGTTGAAGCGCGGCATTCGCTGGTTGCCTGGTGTTTCCAGCATCCGCCGGGCCTGGCCTCTATTCCCCTGGAAAGGGTGACCAGAGCTAGGTGACCTGGTCGCTCTTAGGGTAGAAATACCATATCTTTGCTGTGCTTCACCACGCCCTCGAGCTCGGCTGGGGGTACCCTCAGGCGTGAAGAAAACCCTGCTCTCAAAAACACTGCCTTCTTCATCAATAGGGCTTAAATAACGCTGACGCTGCTGCGTATGCCCATGTTGTTGTTCTCCATCATCCTGAACCATCTCTTCGCTCTCAAAATTGTCCCTCTCTTCATCCTCATTGGAGCCCTCATAATATCCTTCTTCATCTTCTTCCCCAGCTTCTTCGAAGGCATCACTATTGCTGCCGGCAATTGAACCTTGTCTCAAACCTATATCACTATCGTATTCCTAAGAGTTATCTTCTTCCCTGATAACCGGTTCATATCCGATGCTCGTTATACGCCTATTTTCTTCAGCGCGTGGCTGAATCCAGTGTGCACCTCGATATACATTCATATTTTTCCAATGGTCGTTTGCCATTTGGGTATTGGCCGGAGCATATTGTGGCCTCACTCCTGTAAGTGCCTAGCGGTAGTCGGCCTCCTACTCCTTCGCCATATTGTAGATTAACATGTCTGTCTTCAGGTGGTTGCTAGCACAAACGTATCGAAGATTATGCCGAGACTCCCAGCTTTCATCTCCACCCCACCAATAAATATAGACATAAGTCTCTAGATACCACGCTCCGGTCATCGGTTTTAATAAGGATATTGGGTCCTAGCTGACCGACTTTTTATCCACCCGCTATACGACAATTCCCCAAGCTTTAATATCTCGCTCGGTCCGAAGATCGTCCCTTCGGCGACTAAGACTTTGCTCTGATATGTTAGGTGCTCGAGGGGGAATGTAACGCCGGGCCGCTAGGATTAATCGTGCAGTTACGTACCCGCCACACGCATATCCGACTATCACTAACTTGCCGGTGTGGTTTCCGCGCTAAGTAAGAACAACTCCTTCCATCGGCAAGCCAGATGTTTCTACAGTATGGTCCAGCAGCTCCTATGTTGACCACATAGGTTGAAGGAACGATTCCATCTCGCTATCGTTGTCGGGGAAGCCCTCTTTATATACCGGGATATTATCCCCCCGGTTACTATTTTCTCCTTCCGCCTCGGCATGGCTTTCCTAGCCCTCCACGCGCTCAAGACCCGGAGGGGTATCGTCACTAGTGCTGTTACGGTTACGGTTATTAGAGTTGTTGCGGCTGCGGTAATTAGAGTTGTTGCGGTTATTATCTTAGCCCTCCACACGCTCAAAGCCGGGAGGGGAGTCGTCACTACTACTGTTGCGGTTGCGATTTGACATTATTAACCGTGGAAGTGGGTGAATAGCTATTATATGTTTCGGGGGAGGGGGAGCGAGCAAGTTTATAACTCTCACACTAAAATGCACGTTAGGGGCAAATTCCATTTTCGGATTTGTCAATTATACCGAAATCGCTATATATAAATGTGCATATAGTATAGTAGGTAAAAAGAGACAAGTGTCATTTATACCAAATAGCCTTTTTAGGTTATTTAAAATATCGATAATTCATCAATTAACCTATATCAAACAGGTTCTCTATAGACTTAGCCCCTACATATTTAGCGCCGCCTATAGGCCTTCGCCGCAAAATAACCACAGATAAAGGCTTCTTCCGACGGGATCCTCGAGATGGGCCGTATAGTATGTTCATCTCGCACATTAGCGAGGGCGTCTATCGAGCCATCGATACTAGCACTTACGCGCACCTATAGAATCAGGCAACCGTATTTATTATATCCCTTCTTTAGGAATCTAATGATCAGCGTGTATAGGCAAAGGAGCAGTTGATATCAATAAATATCGCAATCGACCGATAGAATAAGAAGAAGTTGAATCAGCCTCCTAGCACTAGCTGTATTGAAGTAAATAACCTTTATCGCGCGGGTATCCAGTTAGACCTAGCGGTTAGAGATGTTAAGTTCTATCGCTCGACCGCGCGCTACGAGGATGTACGTGACTTTGTCTAGGAGAGGATCCAGAACAGAAACTATCCGGAAAACTAGGCTATTACAAGACGCCAGTTTCAACGTCATATCACCAAATTTAAAAGCAACTCCTCGGTGTCTAATGCTTTAGATACTAAAGATGGTGCTTATAAAAAACCCAATGTACAAGCCACATTGAAATCAACGGTCAAAGCCAAAACGAAGCCAAGGGTCTCATTCGGCGATGTTATCCGCACACATGCAAAGATGGCTGCGTCGCAAACGTCCCGTCCTGTTCGGAACAATAGGAAGCGCTCTCAAGAAATTCTCCGGGTTCCTCTTTCGCGAAGCATGCGGAGTTTGGAATACCCCGAATCATCGACAATGAGGAGTAGGAATATCATTAGATAAGCTTCATTCAAGACCTCAATTTACGTCACGTTTCAAGCCAAATATTCCCTAGAACTATCTAACAAGGATAACATAAATTCGAGCACATGGGTGGTATAAAACATTCCTAACAGAAAATATCACACGTTCTCCTCGGGGATGATATCCTCTGATATCAGGCGCTCTTTTGGGGGGAGACCTGTAATTCCCAGTCCAGTATAATCGATCCGCTTCTCAAGGAGCTCATAGGCCTCGAAAAGTTTCAAATAGTCCCGGTGTAGCTGGTCATAGTGCGCTGATAGGGCATTCTTTTCGACGATAACATGCTGCATTCTCCACCCCGAAGTGTGCAATGAGGTTTCGAGAGATGAAATATGATTTTGAAGGTAGGTGATTGAGTGAGCATCTTCTTTCTCACGCTGGAAGAACCAGCGTACGACGTTCAATGGGACGAGAACGTGTTCGGAGTTTACCTTGACGTGTTAGCAGGAATTTGTCGAGGAATCATAAGAATCTACATATACATACAGCTTGGTTTTATATCGTAACAGGTTCGAATCGGAGAGTTGATTTATAGAATGCGAATTCTAAGGAATCCCGGTGGGGAGGGGGGGGGGTTAAATATGTATTATCGAATCGAAGAATAGGAACCAAAAATAAATTCTACGCGCGGACATTAATCTCTATATAATACACAATCTTATTCCGTGTAGATCATTTCCTAATTTCCTTTCATCCCGCCGGTCGTAGTGTGAGTTACTACTCCTACTCTAAGAACATGTGGGAAATGTCGACCAAGCTATACCATAATTAGAAACAACAATCCAACTTAGAGTGGCATCGCCTTACTAGTGGGTCTTTCGTAGCTGTCGCCACTTATTCTCTAGGGCCGATGCAGTTCTATATCGGTCGTCCGGGACACTTTCGTTGAATCTGAGCGCAATTTCTGGCTATAAGAGTCCTAGTTGCTTAAGCGTAATCAAAAGATGTTCTTCCTCTTTATAGTATTGTTTGTTATGACCTAGAGCGTTCGGTTCGGCGGCTATTGGGGCGGCTTTATAACAATATGGACGTGGTGGGCTTAGAGATAATAGACATTCTAAGGTGGGAGCGTTTCGCTGGCGGGATCGTCCTTTTAAGACAAACCTTTCTAAATTTACGATCATACGTGGGCGCTACGCCGCCAGATGAGCGCCAATTATATCCCGCTTATCAGGCAGTTTACGTAGGTAGAACAAGATAAATTCAGCCGACTACGCCATTTCTCATCCTACACAATTATCAGTATGGAAACCGCAGATTTTAATACATTCCTTAGATGGGGCGAAGATTGCGATGAGTTCCCCGATCTCTAGTATACCTTAGGCAACGACGAAACATTTTCGTGGGACCAAATTTTAGATCAGTACCTAGACCCATCCGAGTACCTAGAGCCATTCCCACTTGGCGCACTCGCCCCAATCGAAGAGAAAGTGGAAGCCATTAATGCACTCCCCGAGCTATCACCCAGTCCGACACAACAATACGATGTTCAGACGTTAAGCGAATCAATCACTAAGCTTAAAGACCGTCTTAATGGGTTGGAAGACCGGTATCGTACCCCTTCTCCCCTCACAATTGGAATCCAGGACCTGACTGTGTTAGAATTACGGAGAACCGAAAGTCAGTCTGCTAAATAGTTACATTACCCACCCTATACTAACTCCAGGCAGAACGATCGCCGACTTAGAGGCTTATATCGAGAGCCTTCAGCCATTCCTCTTGCAACTTAGCACGTCTATCGAGGGACTCCTAATAGAGGTCCCAAAGTAAGCTGTTTAATGCGATAGTATCCGGATAGTGGGGACAGAAAGAATTTGAGGGAATACTGTCTTTTGATTTATTAGATAGTTTCTTTGTTGTAATAAATGCATTCAGCCGCATAGTCAAATCCGAATGGTCTAGGGCGCCTATAGGCCGCTTTCAAGTCGTTATACGCACTAGTGGGAAATCAATTCCGAGTCGTACGGACTATGGACCACGCTAATGCACCATAGGCACCTGCGCGTCGGTCACGCCGTGCTATAGCATAAAGAAAGAGAGTTTTCGGGTTTCTATGAATAGCCTAGCCTATACTTTAGCGTCTTGGCCGATGATCCGGCCCACGAGCTAAATTGGACGAGACAGGGATTATAAGGCGTAGGCGTAGAGGGTTCTTCGATGATTTACGTAGCAGTCCGCCTTGTCAAGTGCCCTATATGGGGAACCTCCTACGCAACCGACATTATCTCGTCTCTTCCATCTCATATGATATGATATCGCGGAAATGGCTCCTTCCAGGCGTTCGTTCCCCTTGTGGGGCGTTTCGGAACCTTGAGGGGCGTTCCGGAGCCCCCCTATTTGCCCCCCCGTCCCTCTCTCGCGAGGGCTCTCTCTATTAGCGTTCTCTTCGTGGGTGTTCCCGTGGGCGTCACTAATGGCACGCTAGCTGTAGAAACGGGAACGTAGTGGTGTGGTGATAACCTGTATCAACTTTAGAAAAATCTAAGTAGGGTAGCCGATAGTGGGTCATTGGTTATGTGACCTCCTCAATGACGGTTCGTAGGCGCTCTCTTAGTGGACGTTCTCGTGGGCGTCACCCCTTGTGGGCCCCTTATAGGCTTCTCGTGGGCGTTACCCCTTATGGGTCGTTCGCAGGCGCTCTCTTCGTTATCTTCTATAGTGTCCACCTGGCGTATTGCTTTCACGGGCTAAGATCTGTAGAGCATTATCGGGGCGGCTAATTTGTGATAGCTTATTGAAATAAAAGGTCTTATACTGTCAATATAAGTTAGAGTTTACTAGAGTTTCTGCTATACAATAGAGGTGAGTTCCAAATAGATATTAGTTGCTAAAATCCCTTATCTAATAGTAGAAGAAATCAGCAAATATAGATCCCACAATCCCCTCAAAGGAGAACTTTATCAAGGCTCTACACAACGAACGTCGAGAATATATCGAAATTGCGAACGATTTCCTCTAGTCTATCGAAAAGATAGTTACGCTAGTCAAACAGCTCGAGAACAACATTTCAAACATAGAAACCTCAAACCGGCAGCAATTCGTTATCCTAGATAATCTTTCCCGGGGTGAAAACACTTAATCCACGTCTATTACCTGCCTATTTTTATTCAAGCGGATATTATTTTTAGCTCGCCCACTTTGCATATTAAAACAATTTTACATTTAAGCATATATCCTTTACTACATTTAAAGGCCTCCTATATTTTATAAATCAAAGTGAACCTACACAAAGTACGAGATATCAAATAATAGCTTCCTATAAGCATGCCGGATAGCTTCGTGTTATTAAGAACCGCGATTCGAAAGAGCTTGTTATAGAAAGAACCGACCGACTAGGCGCTCTAGTTCGCGAAATGCCTAAGCCAGACTTTTAACGCCCGCAGCTTTATCTCTTTTTAGGTACCTCAACAAAAGATAAGGCTATACGGAACATCTTTAATCGAAATAATATACGCCGTGGAGATCGAGCAAATATCAACCTACGGGTTAATACGGCGTCTTTAACGAGCGACAATCCTATACTTTTTGCCGACAGCAACCCCTTTCAAGTTCCTCTTTCCGAAAAGACTCACGTGTGGTGTTATAAAACTACGTCTCATTCTACAATATAGCACACAACTACATCACGCGCCGTCATCGACGTTCTATATTCCAGACTCGTCTTCACTTTCAGCGATGTCATTTACATATTTACCGATGACTTTCAGACATTAGAAGCAATTATGTTACGCTTAATAGCGTGGGTTAAGGTTCAAAATGCTTCTTCATTGCCCTCTAATACGCGTCCTAGACTACTCATTATTCTTTCGGAAGATGGCAAGTTTAGCGAGGCTCGCATAGAGGACTACCTAGCCTCATCTAACCTTAGACGCCAACTTTCATCAAGCTTTTCCACACTCAAGATCTTTCAATTAGTAGGCAAATACCTTTCCCCATCTACCCGTTATCAACGGCTCTATACGGAGATTCGATATCATATAGAAGAATTGAGAGCGATAAAATCGAGCCTTAGATGCCTTTTCTCCGCCACTCACCTTCTACATTTTTTCAACTCCGCAGTAAAGCACACAGCACATAACCTAGGAGAGGTATTCGACTTTATTAAGGTCGCGAGAGACGCAGATCTAGTTAAAGCAGACCACCATATATATCTACAGAAGTTTCTCAAGCTCTACGTTCACTTCAAAATCCCATACAACATGGTTACAGCATTTGTTGCCTCGAGCATTATAATGAATGCGTACCCGAAAAGGATGCATCGTGAGTCTTAGATTCTACATGCTTCCTTATCATTTCCTAACTTTCTATAGTCTTTGACCCGTGTTTGATATACCGTAACCTATACAGGTCTCATTACAATAAGGCATTTCAATTCTCTTATAGGCCACAATGCTCTACCTATTTAGATCGAGAGGTTTAAGCTCAGTGTGACCGTATATTCGAGGCTCTAGAGGATAGATATACGGATGCTGCACAGCTTCATAGAGGAATCGCTAAAAGGTATAGCAGTTTCCTACGCTAGGTTATGACAAACACAGTCTATATCTGGTGCCTTTGCCGACCTCCCGAGAGGCATTTAAGCTACGGTCACTCAATATGTGATATATACGCCGCTTCATTTAGCCTTCCTCTTCCAAAATCGGATACTCAAATCCGGCTAGATTATCTTTTTAATAATAGCGGAGAATTATTAGTGAATATTAAACCACCAACAGCCGGAGTGAGGCTTATAGGCATTAATAGTGGTGGTGCGCGAGGTGTAACGCCCCTCGAGTTCCTAGGTGAATTACAGAAATTACTTAGAGAATGTCCAATCCACGACATAATTGATCTTACACTTGGTACAAGTTTAGGTGAGTCTTTTAATAGTGTCAGGTGCAGAATACATCACTAATAGACCAGGGGGCCTAACTATACTAGCCAAATTCCATCAAAAGTGGCCTGTCTCCTATTATGCTAGCGTGTTTGAGACTCTTACCCGTCGATGTTTTTCAACCTCTAGCTCCGCCTTAGGTCGGTTAAAAGCGGTAGTCAAGTATATAACTAGCGATGCAATATACGACGAGCGATTTCTAGAAGGTGCCCTTTAAGAGACTTTACTAGGACAGTTATTTGGTTATATCCCTGGCATAGTATCTGGGACAAAGGTGGCACTTACTACGACATCTGGGGGGAACGCACGTTCAATATTCACAAACTACAACGGCTCAGCACAACCGATGGGTATGTACGATTTTGACGATTCTTGCCTATCTCCCTAATGGCTTCCTTCCAGGGTATATAGTGGTTCGACCTGAAAACAATCACGACGAAGCCTCGTTATGGCAAGCGTAAGTTAGAATCCAACCATTGTTCTTACACGAGAGTGCTAAACTCAGATAGAGCTCGTGCAACGACAGCAGCCCCTATATATATCCATACGTCTATATCTATATATTTCTTATCTCCGCTAATAACCATTCTAGTTTCTTTAAGCCTATTACAGTCGCCGGTCAAGAGTTTTAGGATGGTGGACTTGGGTTTCCCAACCCTATTGAACTAGCAATGTAGGAGTCTTCCCGTATCTAGGGTAAAAATATATCTCACGATGTCACCATCTCTCTAGGCACTAGAGAGGCCTCCAAGGGCCTACCTAGGAGAAGGACCCACTCCCTACAGAGGTTATGGACTTCTTTTATAGACTTCCTCGATGGACATACTAGATATGGTGATGTCAGAAATAGGTTGGATGAGTAACGCAGGCAAGACTTCTTTCGTTTGAATACTAAGCTTCCATTCCCAATTCGGCTAGATGATGTTCAAAGTATACCGCTACAGAAGGAGCAGATACACCTGCGCCCTCAAGGTCAGCTTATTGAAGTTGCAACAGCGCTCTTAGTTTCAAATTTTTACTTCCAACTCGATACTTCTCCCGTCTATAATAGAGGCTTCTACTTATATGAAGGCTCGATTAGGTGTCGCGGCGTCTATAAAGACATAGTCAATGCTCTTATCACTCTACATCAACCTAGGATGGAGTTTGTTACTACGAATGAGACCCTCGCCTCGTTAGATCTACAAGGTTGTCAAATGTGCTCTCTTTATAACAAACATGTTTCATTTTATGTCCGACACCCTACGGAAACTGTCACAATATCGCTACGCTTGGCGAAAGGTATTGAAAGGAAGATAAGCGGCTTTCCCAAAAGTATGCAATGGTTTGAGATGCAACAGGGCCTTAACTCTCCTTTCACCGGCCATAGAAGTGCTCAGAAGATCCGAGACTGCTCAACCTGTTCGAGATTATACAAAAGGAAGTACCGGGATAGTATAGCTTCCATTCATCCAAAGCGTGTAAGGAGATAATAAGCATGTCAGGAGGCGTTATTCAATTAAATTCGCATTTATGTGTTTGTGCTAAATCATTCACTCCTGGGAGCCATAGGTCCTCTGGGAACTATGATTCTGATTCCTAGGAGCGGCAAAGAGTGTACGTAGGAACCATGCTATGGACCCGGGTCAAAATATCTGAGATTAAGCGTTACGTGATGGCCAACCTAGTTCCCCTCTTATTGTAGAGTGAAAAACGATAATAACGTCGCCATCAACATTATAACAGGGAGGACGAAAACAGGAGCCTCGACTGCGTGAGATCTAACCCTCAAAGCCTAGAGCATACAGAAGCGTGTTTCGCAAAACAGGCGGAAAACGAGAGAGGTAAGCCTATTCTCTCTATTTCAAGAGAACTTCGCTGACTACTAGCTTTGTTGTGTGCCTTCCTCACGGTGAGATCACACAACATAGTTATCCTTCGACGTAAACGGCTTTTATAGGACGGAATGCGGGCCTCGCGGGTGATGCAATTGAGAGAGTGATCTCGCTATGGTGACTGTACTTGCAGAGGATTTTTAAGGTGGACCGAATTTATCTATGTACCGACGAGGCAAATCTAGGTACCATCGAACTGGCGTATGTTTTGGAAACCGAGACCAAAATCAAGGAAGGTCGAAGCGTGTTTATGCCTGAGGCACAAATCGACTCTGCAGTCAAGGGGTGAGTAAACTGGATTCCTCCGTGACAGTCCGTTCCCCTTGCTAGCCAGCGGGCCACCTACTCTGTTGACTTCAATTTGCATTATTCGATTATCTGCTGAATACTTCTTTCAACAAGGGAGGGAGGAAACAATCGCCGAATTACGACGTCAGCTTGAAGAACAACAACAACGGCTCCGAGAACCAGCAGAGCGCCGCCAGGGAGAGGCAGAACGGCGACTCCACCCCAACACACTGTTTGAACTTTCGATTGCTGCCACATCTCTCTGTCTCAAGCGATCCGAGTTGAGACGGATGTGACCCTCACGACTCAGGGCGAGGAGACCGACCCATTGAACCGACTTTGTCCCCAGCGCATAGTCCCTTTAAAACCAGAGAAAATCCAATTTTGGTGAGTGCTGCGGCCCTTTTGTCGACGAAGGGGACACTATGTCGTACTTCGAGATGCTAAAATTAACCAACGGAAACCTTGCGTCATTTCTCGGGGAAATACTTCTACCGGAAACCGTGATCAGCTGACATCAGCCTCCTAGATCAAGCACCCACCAATCGAGACCTGTCGCGATTGTCTCAAGCTATTTCCCCCTCCGACAGATCGATGGCCGACAACAACTCCCCAGATTACAAGTCTCTCTTTCTGCAGGCGGAAAAGAGACTCAAAGAGGCCGAAGATGAAGGAAGACGAGAGAAAAGGAGGCGGGAGCAAGCTGAAGAGCGCATCCGCCCGACCACTTTCGTGGAATTCATGGGCCATTCCCACAATCTGCTCTCCCGACCGTTGAGAGTGGAGAGACCATCTCGTTCGACTACTGGGAAAATACCCCTTCCCACCGGGAAATATTGCCCGACACGATTGGAACACTGGACCAACTGCCAAGCGCAACAGTCGGAGCTTTACAGGTCCGTCTACAGCTACCTCCAGTTGACACCAGGAGGGGCGCCGCGTTTGTTTTCATCTTTGCATGAGCTAGAAGGGTTAGGCCGACGACTTGGTCGCAAGCCCATAAGCAGCGAGCAAGAACTTGAGGCTTATGAGCGGTTCGCCGTGGAAGAGCACATCGGCGATATAATAACGGAGTTGTGCAAGATACCCGCTGCTCGTGAAGAGTTCGGCCTCGGCGACGGCATCCAGTTCAGCAATCATACAAATTCCTTAAACGATAACGATGCCATCGAAGCAGATACAAGTCAAGCATCAAGTGTACACCACCCAAGACCTGACCAATTCTGCATCCATCGTGTTGACGGCCGCACTACCACTCTCCTCACGACCGTCGAGTATAAGCCACCTCACAAGCTTCCCGTCGCAACCCTTCGGACGGGGCTTCGACCAATAGACTTGTGGAAGGATATGGTCAAATCGAATAAAATACCCACGAGCAAGGAAGCGAAGTTGAGGTACAATGCAGAGCGCCTCGTCTGCTCCGCTATTGTCCAAGAGTATCATGTGATGATCCAGGAAGGGCTCGAGTTCTCCTACGTGACCAACGGGATTGCCCGGGTCCTCCTCCGTGTTCCACATGATGATCCTAGCACGCTTTATTACTTCCTGTGTGATCCTAACAGCGAGGTGAATACAGAAGTTGAAGATAGTTTCCAACAACCGAACACTTCTATTGCAAGAACACTCTGTCTGTGTTTGATGGCCTTTCGCTCACCTGCGCGTGGCCAAGAATGGCGAAATTCCGCACGACCAGAGCTTCCTCTTTGGACGACCAGTTTTGACCACACTCGTTCCCAGATTCCCAAAGCAGAACTACCGCAGACTCTTCCCCACTCCGATAGCACAACCTTAGAGTACACGAGTCCAGATTCCGGTTCATCTTATGAACCGCCGTCATCTCCACCGGATTCTCTAAAGGCAGCGGCTCGCCAAGTGCCTACAAGATCTCAGGCCAGCTGTACACCCTCGGCTATACAGTATCGCTCGCAGTCGCCAGACTCATCAGGCTCCGATTCGAACCAAGCAACTAGCCGTAAACGGGGCTTCAGCCAAGTTACATCCTCCCCATCTGCCCAACGAGCAGGTCGTCAACGGGACGCGGGAAATAATCAAGGCAACCAGGCCCGATATCGCGATGCGCAATTTTGCACCGAACGATGTTTACTCGGTTTGCAGTCTGGCGGTGTGTTAGATGACTGCTGTCCAAATGTGATGCTCCATCGTCGAAGCAAAGACAATCCCCAACATCCGATTACCTCAAAAGATTTGATTCATTTACTTAACGCGCAACTAGACGAAAACATTGACCGATGCACACCTCTTGGCGGTTGCGGGGCATATGGTGCACCGTTCAAACTTACTTGTGTTGAATATGGCTACACTGTTGTTGGAAAAGGAACCACATCGGGGCTGTGGAAAGAAGTCTCCCGCGAAGCGCAGGTATACCAAATTCTGCGGAAGGCCCAAGGGTCTGCTGTGCCTGTTTTCCTGGGCACGATCGACTTGGCGAAAATCTATTTCCTTCATGGAGCTGGAGAGATTCGTCATATGCTCGTGATGGGCTGGGGGGGAGAAAATACAGCATCGATGGAGCTGACGCCGTGGCTCCACCAGGAAATTCGCAGATCAAATAAAGAAATCAAAGCCTTGGGAATAATTCACGAAGATTTGCGGCGTGACAATGTTCTTTGGAATAAAGAGCTTGGACGGGCGTTGATTATCGACTTTCACCGCTTTTCATTGATATGCCGGCCAACTTCAAAGCGATCACGAACAGCGAAGAGACAACTATGTCAGACAGAGTCGGGAGATGTAAAACGTTTACGCGTTTAGTGAAAGAGGGTGCTTAAGTTTACTGCATTAGTTTAGCGATCGCATAATGCAGGATTACGAATCATCCCCGTAAGACTGTCGTATATTCAACTATGTTGAATGAAAACCTAAAAGACTAACTCGTCGGCCTTAGACACCTCCCTCGACTCGACTCCCTCAACCGAACTTCTCTGAGAGTTTCTCACTCGGTTCCGCTGCCCTTTCCAGCTTGTAGCACACTGGCTCTCCGTCCACTATAGCGTCCACCACAGCAGTCACATGCAACAAACATCAATCGCCTGGTGGGCGCGAGAGAAGCAATCAGGCCGGTCTCGCAAGGGCAGACTGCACGACCATACAGCACCATGGCCTACATCCAAGGTATTGGTCATCTGAGATTCTCTGGATTAAAAATGCCCCAATTTGCATCATCACATGCAACCTCCCGATTGTCGAAGACGTTCGATGGGCCCGCAAGAGTTCACGCGCAGGGTGCACCTTCAGCTCGTACTGAATCGAAGCGAGGGATTTGAACCACTGCACGTCTATGGCCGGACGGGCTACCTCCTGAAAGTGACCGTTCTATCACACGGATACACTGATCATTAAGGCTGCCACGGCAGAGCAGAAGCATCTCATTCAAGCGTGAGTCGACAATTATCGCTACCTCGGGAGCCTGCAGGGGCAACAGATCCCCGTCTGTCTTGGGTCATTTACGCCACGCGTTGCATATTGGTTTATGGCGAGCTAATGACGCTGATGATGATCCTAAGTTGCTCGGGAAAGCGGCTGCAGCGTTGTCCACGACGACAGTGAGTGGCGCAATATGTTGTTATTGACTTGGAGGACGTGAAATGGTTGATGCGCCCTCGTGCCCTTGAATAAATGTCTGGAAATGCACGGCGTGGTCATCGCGTAAAGGCGGGAAAATCAAGACTCCCGACCAGCTCAACTGCCGTCTACATCTCCAGGTTTCTGAGTCAGCGGCACGGGAGGGCTCAACCTTGGAAAACGGAGAATAAGAAAGTGGATCCAGTCTCTGACCTCTGCGCTCATTGATTGGCTGAATATATCATGATGCGCGATATTCATAACGGAGTTGCTTGCCTCCAGGGTTACATGACGTATATGTACCTACTCCGTATACGTACCGGATTTTCCCTGGCGGGTCAGGCTCTTAGTGGAGGAATTGCTATAGATTGTAATAGCTGTCTTATAATAGATAAAACAGCTTTGTCAAAAGTCCAATGTCAAGGTGGTATAGTACGTCAACCTACTAACGTTCAAACTAAATACCTTTTCAATTTCGTCGATTGAACTAAACCTCACGCAATTATACAAACATAAAGCGAGACTTCCTAGTGATAAGTGTCACATCTATGAGGGAATTTGTCTCAGTCTAGAAGAGAACAGGAACAATGAATGGTAGAATGTATCTCTATTACAAGGTAATGAAACCCTTATTTATATTGCCGCTCGTAAATCATGCGTATTCTCAGAAAGAAATAGGCATTGCTTTGGTCCGCTTGATTTTATAGGATGGTAAATAAGACGGAAAGAGATTGTCTGCGTGCATAACCACTAACCAGTTAGAGTACATGGTGGCTTAAAACGCCAGGCTAGCAGCCATCTCAACACCCGGTCATGATCTCCGTTCTATCTAGAAGCAAATATCTTCATCTGGCTTTTTGATATCCCAAAGGTTAACGAGGTTTCCCACCTGCTCACTTCTCAAGCCAATTATGAATTATCTTGGTGGTGGCGGTGGTACGCCCGGCTTTTTAACGCCAGTGGTGTCATATCCATTGCGCGAGGGGGTCTATTGTTCATTAGTAAAGAGGATTCAACGCAAGGTCGGACGGACTGACCACTTCTGGGCCATCTTGTAGCAATTTCCAAATATCTCTCTCAATAGATTTGCTTCCTGAGAGAATAGGTGATCCGTCCGAAGGCATATTCTGTTGATATCCACACACTATTATGGCTCTATAGTGATAACTTAGAAGAAAGCTCAATTTGAAGGAATTTGCATCTTATTTATACCAGGTACACTGATGCTTCGAATGCTGTATGGTCTGTAAGGCGAGAAAAAGCCAAATTCATTACAAGAGGGCCATGAAACTTCATTTTATACTACAAGTAAAATTAAGGATGTCTTAGGCCAAGAGTGACCAGGTTAGGTTGTAGGCACAAGACTAACCAACTAGCTCATTATCAAGTTGATTATCTGTTCTAATTTGAAAAATAATGTTTGTTTCTATATTACTTCAAAAGGGCCTAGGCGTTGTACGGCCTCATTTTGGGAACTGAGATGCCGAATAGGATTTTATCTGGTCATAAGAATTAACGAATAATTCAAATTCCCTCGGAAATACATTAAGAACCAGAAAGGTCATATTTTGAAAGCTTCCCTAGGCCAATCGGTATTCTTAGAATTCACGGCGTATCTGCAGAGATCAGTCTCCAAATAATGTTCTTCTTTCTCGCTCTGATGTTAGGCGTCCCACGTAAAGCTACTTGCCTCGACTGCAATCGATGCGATCTCCAGCCCTTGAAGTTGTGTGTATATCGGAAATAAGGTTCCAATTATATCTCTAATACGACATGGATACAATGTCACGTAGTGATACACCCGATTTAGTTCTACTAGCAGAATAAATGACATTTTATAAGAAGTGATATATCATAAAGCACGTACTACTGAGCCCCAACTTGTCGAAGGCTTCCACAGATTGTGGCGAGTGAGGAAGTCGGAGATAGTCTGGTCATGAAATTGTCGAAGGTAATCGCAAATTGGTATCCACAAATTTCCCCATCAAAGCCAAACAACGGGATAATTCTTTCTAGTATTCCCATTGATCTCTCGTCGCTCTTTCCTTGGGATCCTAGGAGATTCTGATCGACCCAAACATATTGCTGGAGCATGAGAGCAATGCGCGTGAAGAGCCCCTCATATGTGGCTTGAAAGGGCTGATTCCGTAGATGGGAGGTCATAATATTGCGAAGGTTCTTTCCAAATGGATTCTCCAAAGTGAGCTTCGGTGAGATATCCATCATCACATCATAGAGCTGAGCAACTGTAGGACTCTCGGCTCTCAGCTAAACGATATTTCATTGTGCATCGGTAGGTAAGCCATTCGTTTGGGTATGAAACCTGGGTAGGTGTGCCGTTCATTCTGCTTGCGGCTAAAATAATATTAGTATGCGGAAGTTTAACAGCCATAGCGCTTTGTGATGTTGGGTTTACTACACCTTTGCGTAGCGATTGGCGAGGAGATGGGGCTGTGTTGAGCTCTCTTTCGGATATGAAGATTTAATGGGGATATGACATGATCCAGCTGGGAGATGCGCTGACCTTATAGTATTGATAGTATACCATCATAGGTTCTTGGTCCGATTAACCACGCATAAGGAATTCTGATCCGGTCACCCTTGTTCTTTACGGAGATCAGGTGTTTAGACCACCTCATTCACTCCCTGTTGAATCTCAAAGCTATACAGTCTCATCTTATAGTTCAACATTCAAGGACTATCATCTTTTATTAATATTTGTCTCGGTAAAGACAACGTTGATTATCTTCTAAAGTGGTCTACGTGGAAATTGGCAGTTCTTTCGCTAAAGTTTGAATCCACGAGCTAGTAGATCATGAAGCACAATATGTTTATATTGTAGAAGCTGTAGACTATGTAGAAAAGAAAGAGGAGGAAAGTAGACACTAATCTATGAGATTCTGTAAGGATCGCATGGTTTCTATTGGATAGTACTAGCTAGGCCGTATAAGTGAATAAATTACATAACCCAGTGGATCGCTCGTTCCCTAGCCAATAGAAACCCTTCTTTCCTGTGCGCCCAGGACCACTCCCTAGGGCCTGTCAAGCCTCAGGCATCCACTCCCTGTGGAGTGCCTGAGGCCATCAAGTAATGCAAACCCTGCAAACCCTTCGGGACGACATCTAATACCATACGAGGTCATGTGACCTATGAAAGATCTGAACAGAATCCATCATCCCTAATTCTTAATCCGTCTTTTTATTTTTAAGATCGGCAGTTAAGACATTTTCGCTGGCTACCGGATACATTTCTATTAATTAAAAGCCTCTAGAGCTTCCGTGATCATATGTAGGCCAGCTTGCCTCGCTTCAACCTTAATACCAGCCACTCCAGCACCATCACTCAATCCTCGCACTGATTTGATCTTCCGAACAGCAACCTCTTCCAAACATGCCCTGGCGCTTTGTAGCCGATCAATTTCCCATTCATGGAAGTATTTGCCTGGGAGGTATGAATCATACCAACGACTCTGATCGCGCGCATTGTCGACGATCCTTATCAAAAGATCCTGTGAGAGCGTGCGGTCTGTTCTATATTCTGGAGGTGGGTGTTGTATGATCACTTCAAGGATTTCACCGCTCTTAGGCTCCAAGTCACCGGCTGCCACAAATGTAGCTCTGCGCCAATCTTCATAGCTTACGGAATGGTGTAAGATCCATCTAGCTGCGTCCACGTGGTTGTCTGTCGTAGCATAGGTCAAGAGATCTTCTGGAGGCTCCAAGCCACGGCCCTTAAACCAATCTAACATTGGCTCTGGGTTCTGCTGGTGTAAGAGCGCATGCCAACTCGTAAATCCGTTGTTTGCGTCAGGCATCCCTAGATCCACGCCTCGATCTAGCAGGTTACTTGCCAGATCTATATCAGCAAATCGGCACAGCTCCCTTATCTCGCTTGGCCTAAGACTGGATAAACTGATTTCGGGTCGCAATCGAAGCCGTTCCCAGCAACACTGGAACGATTGGGCATTCGAGGTAGTGAGTTGCAATATCGATTTGCATTCACTATTTCCTCTATTCACTGAAGCAGGTTTAAAGAGCTCTTGGATCTTTATCGAGGATAGTATTCGTCTTATCACACCAAGGTCCTCTGATTTGGCTGCAATTAGATAGAAACTCTGTCCATCCTGACAAAAAGAGGAAGCGCGAATTGTTTGATGATCAAGTAGGAATAAAAAGCACTGAGCGCAATTAACAATAGTTTTTGAAGCTAAATCATGCGGAGCGGTTTTATCGAAAGTATGCCGACAAGTCTTCGTATGGTTAAAGTTAGGGCAGAGTTTCCAACTAGTCTCGATTCTCTTTCGAATTGAATGGCTTTTAAGAACAGCATGGATCCTGCTTTTGAAGATCGAGTCCTTTTCCTCTTGGCAAAAGGCTTGGAGAGTATGTAATGCATCATGTGATCCAAGAGGTTCAGAGAAAAGACTGGCCTCGACAATGTGATCTATGAGCTCTGTTGGTAATTTTTCGATTCTGCCCAGAACAGTCTCCGATATAGGCTCTGACATTACTTAGTGCAAATGTTTTCAATGGCGTTGCAAAGTCTTATTGGGTCTGGCGATCTCAAATCTCGAGGCTGCAATGACCGAAATTCCGTACCCGGTGTGATGTTTGGAAGCTCAAGGATACTGTCTGACCGTTGAGATGATTGTATAGAGTGGATAGACTCCGCATCCCTTGTGTCTTTGTAGTAGGAACTAGTGAGCGAGGAGCTTCTCTATGCGGTGTTTTAAATATCTTACGGTTTTCTTGGGGTTTCCGGACTGACGAGATATCCTCTTTGAAGAATAAGAAAGGATCAAACCACTTCGGGAGCAGCCTTCGTAGTGAGATGATGGGAAAGCAATCCATCGTAGTTTTGGGGTAGATACTTCGGAGGATGAATAGGTATTTATATGCTCACAAATTATAGTAGTGTCATCCTCAATCACCGTTTTACCTACTTTTGACGGTCACACCGAATTATCCTATTGGATAAGTCTTATGCTACTATGCTCTAGAATCTTTGCGCGCTTTTGTATTGATGTCACAACCCGTATAATGGTTCTTCATCCTACCTATTCCCTTCCACAACCAACCAGACCTCCTTATCGAGCTCACGTTCTAGATTTTGTAAATCTTATAGCTAATCAGATAGTTGATTTTGACTCGTTCTAGACAAGTGCTCGCTGTTCGAACTTCAACACTGCTTAATACTCTGATCTATCAAGTCATATTCATCAAGCAAGAGCCTGACATATGGACTAAAAATACAACGCTCAGGCTTCTAGACCTTGCTGCTATTCAAATCAAAGCAAAATGCCCTCTTAGGACGACGTCGTCGGACTCACGTCCATAATCAAAAGAAAAGAGAAAATAGTTTGTGTATGTATGTATACAAAAATAAATATAAAAGAGAATCAGTCCACTAGTGAAGCCTGGATAAATTGTTAGATATGTATATCAGAGCCACTTGTTATCAACCTGTTGCAGTCTAACTATTTGCGTATGACTATGCACACGCTTAATCCAACATCTAACTGAAACAAACAAGAACTCGAAAGCAAACGTCGAGATGGAACTGCTTCCAAAGAGTATCTATCTCAACGATCCTGTAATCCCACAAACCCACATATGAGAAATATATAACGACTGCGATAGAGTGCACCTTCCATCTTTCACATCTCAAATCTCACTTCTCGCCTCACCTATCGCTGTGTACTGATCATTTCTGCAGTTGTGGCAGTGTTCACTTTGGACTGCGGTGACAAGTTGGTGTATTGGGGTCGCATAGTGGGATGGCTGAGACTGCCTGGGAGAGAACAGATTGAGGCCGAAGGCAGATCCTCGGTTAGCGTGGTCAGAGGAGTATATTCTTGCTCGACAGGCTCCGGTGCCATTTGTCCTTGCTCAGGGTGCGGTGGAGTCTGCGTCGGCGGACTTATCTCTTTCCAGGTAAGATTCTTGATGTCGACAATCACGTTAACATCTGGGAAGTATTAGCCGAATGTAAAGCGCTCGCCGTATATATACTATATTTACCGGATTGCTCAAACCGTTCCTCCAACTTTCGAACCCAAAGGATCTCAAAGATTACCTCGGCGCGGCTTTGGTCCTGAAACTTCCGCCTGGTGGCTCTGGCGACTTCCTCTAACTTATCGGCCGTAATACCATAGCTACCGAGTCTACAGAGAATGTGAACCAGCAGCTGGACCCGGTCTATTGAAATAAAATGTCAGCACGTCCTAGGCAGAATCATTCTATAGACCAATATACCTTCTTTTCTTATATGATCAGGCTCCTTATGCTTAACACCCGAGGGCCACCACTTAGGCTTAGTCCTCTCTAGGTCGCACCTAGTGTTAGGAGCGGACCCCGGCGGTGGCTTCCCGCTATAGGGATATTTGGATTGCTTATATGGCTCAATAGCACAGATAAATGCCTTAGCAATCGTGCGGCAGTTCAGCTATTGGAATTCGTAAAAAGCGCGTTCATAGTAAGCCATAACATTCTGAGTATCTCCAATTCTGAAAATCATGTAAACGGAACCACCAAGGTCCTAGGGGGCGGAATCATATTCAGCCGAATGCCTATCAGAAAGGGACATCATAGATCCATTGCTCTTAGGACATTTCGACCGACGGTGTGTTGCCTCTATAGAATAATTAGCGGGCTATAATATATGCAAAAATATGACTTTGCATACGAATAGACTAGTGGCAGCCAATAGGTTCGCCTATAATCTATAGGAAATTCTGCTAGACCTCCGGAGTGAACACACTAGGACCTCGTTCCTAAACAGATCGAGATTCTTAGACTTTGAGATTATCCTCATGATCAATATAGATCATGGCGTAGTGGGCGCAAGGAATAGTGAATGACGGGTGAGAGATAGGTATCTCAGACTAGACAACAATCAGCGAGAATCAACAAAATTTACCATTTACCAATGTAATACAGGAGCATTTTGCAATTCCTAGGGCTTTTAGAGAGCCGACGAGAATCTTTTCATAGTATGAGCTGCAATGTTGGGCGTTTTAGAAGCCATTACGTGTACGTTGGCAGGGATACTCGACTATGGGCTATATGAGAAGCAAAGAAGAAGCCGCTTGAGACGTATTTCAATAATGATACGATAGACTGCGATATCAGAATCCGGACGGTTGGCTCTCACTACTCGGGAAATGACGGTCTTTTTATATAGTGAGCAACGACACTAAACGAGGACAAAGTCTAGGTGATTACGCTAGGTACATCGTATTGCTAGGTGGTGTTTTCCTACACGTTTATGGAAAAAGAAGCTAAAGATCAACCGGGGTACAGCTTCTAGAAGAATCTAAAGGATTCATTACATAGTTATTAGGAAGCCAAGTCTTCTTTCCGTCTTATTACTCGGGATCTAAGCACGATCGAACCCTTGCATCTTTTTATTAGTATTCAAGAACCTTAATATCAGTGATATATACAACTATAAGTTTGGTGCTCGATGTTAAGGAGGAATCCTATATACAAAGAATCATCACACTACTACGTGTTTATACTAAAAGTTTATTTTCCCTCACCCATCGGAAAATCAATATTCAATTATAAACTTAACCATTTCCATATAGAAAAACAACCATCTCCCCTAGGCACTCAATGATTCCGTTATCTCAACGGCTCGAGACGCGGTGGCCAAATCCCCATTGGTGGGCTAAAAGAGATCACAAAATTCTTACCAGCTGTATCTCTAGCCATTCGCTATCCACAGAATCCAACTTATCCATAAGGTGACGCTAAAGGTCCTCCCCGTTCTCCGCATAAAGTATACGGTTGATTGACACACGCACGCCACGAGGGGGTAGTATATCCATCATCAGAAGACTATATAGCACGACCATACATTCCAAGTCCGTATTATAAACTCTCTGCCCCACTAGACTCTTAATAAATGCCGAAGGGGCATATCCCACATACCGAGAAAGAATATCGGATAGCAGATCGGTAGTAATAGCCCTATCACACACACACGGCGCCGACGAAATGATATAAGTAGTGACATCGTCTTATTTAATTATAAACCGAGGGTTACTCATTTCATCGACTAGATAGTCAGCTAGATATCTGCTACACGTTAGATTGAAGGGAAACATACAGAATTGGCTTATAACCTATAGTACTTTTATAGTGAGGGGCTTGGTAGGCGCTATTGGCGTTATTAACATGGCTTAGGAACAAGAGGAGGTAAGATGCCATTGACTACAATTGGTAGTAGAAGAATTACCTAGGAATAGAGACTCTTTATAGCTCTTTACAGGTTCGTCTTATTGATAAACATAAGCAAATACTGGCTTCTTTCATATTAATTGGCATTAAAGAAGGCTTAGGCACTAATTCGATGAAGAAAACAAGAAACACCCAGTTAGTTGAGCGCTTTATAAGATCATAGCCGTTTCTAGTGTCTGTATAGTTAACGAAGTAATAGCGAGTTCTTATAAAGGTATACTCAACTCCTATAGGGGAATTTGAGGCTTATGATCTCTAGCGAGGATTAAGAAGACGATATATTTTCTACCTAGAAACCTTAAGTTAATATAGACGGATAAAAACTTACTCTTACTTACTTGCTATAATTAACCACTATAGATCTTGCTTGTTAAAAAGAGATACGTTTATTATCTTTAGGATTAACACCCATTATTAGGGTATCATTTAAACTTTATTCGAATCGAGATTGTTAATTATACGTTCATATCCCCTTAGGAACTTCTGTTATTGATGTTCGAAACTAGGAGGAGAGATATACGGCTATTTGTTCTAAGATACAAGCTTTCCGAAAGTGTTTTCCAGATCACGACCTATATATCAAATCTCCTTCACCAGCAAAAAGCCCGACAAACTTCCAAAGCACATACACAGCAAATAACCAAGATAAAAAGACTATAGAAAGACGAGGAAAAAATACGAACAATCTGCAGAAAAAAATTGTCGGACAATATGAGACCAGAAAGCAAAATGCTAAACCGAAGTATGATATCGGAAACTGCAGGCTCCCGAGACTGTTCAAATCAAAACAAGAAATCAAGAAATTTGTTATCTAGTGTTTCTTATGATGACGTCGCCGGGTTTTCAATCCGTAATCAACAAAGAGAAATAAAAAAGATAATAAGTCTCACATAGCCACTGCAATTTAGGCGTAGTAGTAGACTAGCAGCCTATTAGGGTGGCCAATTGATCCTGGGTAGAATAGCTAGGACCCTTGGCTTATGGCGTTGTGGTAGTCCATTTCGTGAGAGCTTGTAGAGCCGATAAGTGTTTGACTATATATTGTAGTACTTTGATTGGTTGCTAGTGAGCCGTGGTCTTCTGGGCTGCCGGCGTTTTAATATGAGTTTGTATCGATCCAGCCGCCGTAGTGGCCTAGGGCTTCAGTGTGCTGATAATCAGTGGTATATCCTGAGAAACTCTTCTGGATGGAGACCGGAGTATCGCTTATCATAGGAGTGCTGGGTATAGACTATAAAGATGGGTTCGTGTATTCGGGCGGCATTTTGTAGTCAGGGTTGTCCTGTCGGTCGGCAACTTCGAAGTTGAGAGGCATTGGCATGGATGAACTACCTAGGAGAGCGGAGGCTGATACTGAACCAAGATCCTTGGTCTCGACAGATACTAGCGTCAGTCCTAGCTCTTTATGCTTAGGCACTCCCATAACCACTGAGGCTGCGTTGGTAGAGCCATTCCCCTTAATGCTAAAGCTAGGGTTCATAATGTAGGCTACCATATTAGCATCTAAAAAGCGTGAGTCAACTACAAAACATTAGCTAGGAGTACTTAGAGCATACCAACTTCTCGTCGCTCAAACAGTTCCTCCACCTTTCGAACCCGAAGGATCTCATAGATGATCTCGACCTCGCATGGGTTCTTCAAGCCCCGTTTGGTATCTCTAACAATTTCCTGCAAGTTATCGGCGGTGATACCATAGCCACCGAGCTTGCGAAGAATGTGAAGAAGCAGTTTGATGCGGTCTAGTCCACAAAATGTCAGCACGGACTAGGATGAATCACTATGTAGAAAAACATACCTGCTTTCGGTATGTGATCAGGCTCCTTATATATGACATCCGAGGGCCACCACTTAGGCTGAGTCTGCTGCCCACCTTTATACGGGTGTTTGACTTGCTTGTGCGGCTCGATGAACTTTATAAATGCCTTAAGAATCACACAGCAATTGCGCTATAGGAAGCGTTCGAGGGTATCTTCGTAGTAAGCCATAACCTTATTTGTATCCCCAACTCTTAAAGGGACCATTTTTTCAACCGAACCGTTGAAGTTATCCCTATCGAAACCCTGTTCAGCCAAACGCTCTTTAGAGGCGGACATGGTATATGTATTGCTCGTGCGTCGGCTCAATCGACGGGGGATTGTCTCTTAAAACGATTAGTGGGCGCCCATATATACAGAATACTTTACATACGATCAATGGGCCGGTGGCAGCCGATACGTTCGCCTAGAATTTCAAGGAAATTCTGGCAGACTTTCGGGCTGAACACACTGGTGTCTTGTTCTTGGATAGACTGAGATTCGTAGGTCTTGATCTTGTCCTCGTGATCTATATAGATCATGGCAAAGTGGGTGTAAGGAAGGGAAAATGACGGGCGAGAGACGGTCATCTCGGGCTAGACCACAATATCAGTAAGAATCAATCAAATTTTTCCGTTACAGAAGACAGTTATACAAGAGCAACATCCAATCCCGGGGCCCCTTAGAGGGTAGAGGCAGACCTCTTCATGGCACGCGTTGTGGTAACTATTGCGATAGTATATCGACTGAGATGCTCGACCGTAGCGTATATGGCTCGTCGTGTGGGGTGGCTACCTTCTTTTAAAAGGACGCCGGAAATACTTCAGAAAAAAATGATATAATAAAGAATAGCGTAATAAAAGTAGGCTATACTATCTAGAGAATGATGGATATAAGGACTTGGTACTAACATGTGGGAATATATATATTTCTTAGGCTTTTATATACATGCTGTAAGATGAACGTTCATGATTGGCTTTTTTCCCCTAAAGGCATCTTGGGGAAAAAGGAAGTGTTCTCGAACCTGAAGAATAAGTCGTAGTCGACCAATGACTGAACATTCTAGCATTGTGGTGGGGGTGGGGGGCGCCTAGCTTTCTGACCCCGGTCGTATCCACACCTATTCTAATGAGACTTAGCTTCTATTAGAAACTATAAAAAGGAACACCTGCCTTAGCTTAAGTGAGAGGAGACTTAAGAATTGATTATAGCTAGGGCTAATATGGTGAAATAAGATATATAAAAGGATAGATTTAGATATTGTTCTCTCTTTTTTTTGAATATTATCTTGCTTTACACGATTCTTCGAGTGGTTTATATTCGTGTTCGATTAGCCTAAAATAACTACACTTCCTAATTAGAAGGAGGAAATAAAGAAGATCACTCTAGAACTTATAGAGGCCCGCATATTAAACTAATAGCTAGATAAAATTGAGAGATATCTTAATTCTGTGATATAATTAGTTTCTATAAGTATATTAAATTTACAAATCTCGATATAAGACATATATATAGGCCACGGCTATTCTAGAAATACCTTACTATTTGCTAAAGCCGAAATCGAAAAATATAGATAACGATAAAAGTAAACTAGGTAAGTAAGGTGTAGATTAAAAACTAGGAAACTAAGTCGTTATCTATAGTTAAAGGTAGATAAAGAGCCTTTCGCTTTAGATTCTAGATAGTTAATATACTAGGGAAAATATACTAGGGAATTAGTACGTATATAATAAAAACTTATAGACTATTTTTATAGCTAATATATTATAAGGTTCTCTTATAGCTTAGATAAAATAGGTATTAGCTAGTAACTTATTAGAAATATAGATATATCTTAACTAGCTTCGGTATCCTTACTCTATTTTGTTTATTACCTAATAGCACTTTATTCTTACTTTACTTTTTTATCCTCGTTATTACCTTTTATAGTCTTACTAAACTATAATACTATATATCTAGGGTGATTAGGGAGAGGAGAATAATCGCGATACTAAATATTCTAGTTTCCTTATTTATTAAGTATAGAATTATAGTCTAAGGTGGTATAATAGTAATAGTTTTTAGGATTAAGTTTAAAAAATAACTTAGCGACTAATAAAATAATTTAAAATATTTAGCTATCTTTCTAATCACTCTATAACCGCGGCGGGTATAGAACCTTCCCTTCTACCTCTTACCTAGTTAAGGGCATTTAACACGGCTAACTTAGGGTTGTCTCTAAAACCTATTAGATAGTTATTAATCTCCGCTATAATCAACTTACTAAGGGAAATAATATCTATAAATTAGTCGGAAAGCTATAATATACTATCCTCCTAGTTCGACCGATCGTTTAGTTCTCTTTCTATACTAATTAAAGAGATAGACGAAGACCCCTCGTTAAAAAATGTATAAAATAGCTACTTAACGCTTATAGTATCTACGAAGTTAAAGTGATATCTTTTATCTACCCGACTATCTCGAATTAAGGCCGGATTAAGCTTTTCTAGATAATTCGTAGTTATAATAAGAATACGGCCCTCCTATACTATAACGCTATTAAGATAGTTTAAGAGGGCCGATAAAGAAATGCTAGCGCTATTAAGCTTATCTTCTTAGAGCGAATTCCCTACTCTACTAGTATTACTAGGATCTTTCATTTACCGATTAGCGTCTTAGCTAATTCCGGTATTATCTACGTCTTTAAGGAGCACGATATAACGTCTTAAAAGGCTTTAGAAGAGGCTAACTAAGCTATCCTTATTAAGCTTTTAGGAGTTTAAGCTAACCGTATAGATATTAAGCTAAAGGTGCCCCGTAATTATAAATAATATACTTAACTTTCCGGTTCCGGGAGGACTATAGAGAAGATAACCTCGGTGGTATAGCCTACTAAGACGCTTATAAAAGGCTCTTTCTTTAGGACTTAGGAAAGCCTCGATATCTTTTAGTATATTATCCTTAATTTCTAGAGGTAAGGCTAAAGTTAATAATAAACGAGGAAGCTT